CCTCCACAGCCCTCAGTCCCCTGTACTCCTCTCTGCAGTCTGGGAAAGCAGAGGAGGCAGCAGCAGCACCAGACACCGCTGAGAACCAGAATGTTTCCCTGAACGCCACCTCTCCTATCACGACTCCCTCTGCCTGCTCTTGCATTTCCCTACCATATCCAGTTTGCTTCTGGCCCTTGAAAAAAGACTTGAAAAGGGCTTTTTTAAAAAACTAAGAGACAGGAAGGGATCGATGTGTTTTCTCTCCTATAGATAGCTGTACTTGACCTCGAACGAAGGATGAAGTTGTTAGGACAGATTTTCCTTTCATGGAGATGGGTGAGAATGGGATGGGGACATGTTGGCGCACCTCACATTCATCAACTTGGGCAGCCACTTTCTCTTCCTAGAAGTCAGCTGGTCTGTGCTCATGTCCTGAGAAAGCCTCATAAAAACCTTACACCTCACTGACCTCGTTCCCTTCCTCGAATCCTGGTACTCCATTTACTCCTTGATCCAAACAGCAGACCCCATTTTCTTTACTCTGACAGCAGCCGGAAGTCTAGAGGGTAAAAAAACAAATAACTCAGAATTTATTGCTGATTCTACCAAGTATTTTTTCAGCTTTGTTGAGGTATAACTGACAAATAAAATTGTATATATTTGAAGTGTACAACATGGTTATTGTTATATGTATATTTTCTTAAATGATTACCATCATTAGGTCAATTAGTACATCTACCACCTCATATAGTTACCATTTTTGTGTGTGTGTATGGCGAGAACACTTAACGTCTACTGTCTTAGTAAATTTAAGTATACAACACAGTATTATTAACTGTAATCAACATGCTGTAAATTAGACCCTCAGAGCTTATTAATCTTATAACTGAATGTTTGTACCCTTGAACCAGCATCTCCCCATCTCCCCCAGCCCCTAGGCCCTGGTAACCACCATTATACCCTGTTTTTATACGTTCAACTTTCTTTTTTCTTTTTTACATTCCACGTATAAGTGAGATCATACAGTATTTGTCTTTCTCTATCTGGCTAATTTCACTTAGGATAATGTCCTCTAGATTTATCGACATTGTTGCAAATGGCAGAATTTCCAGTTTCTCATGGCCAAATAAATACACACACACACACACACACACACACACATACACACACACATCTTTATACCTATGTACACACACACACACACCTTAATGCATTCATCTGTCAATGGACACAAGTTATTTCCATGTCTTGGCTATTGTGTTAACGCTGCAATGACGATCTCTCTTCGAGATTCTAATTTCATTTCTTTAAGATATATACTCAGAAGCGGGATTGCTAGATCCTGTGGTGATTCTATTTTTAACTTTTTGAGGAACGTCCATACTGTTTTCTATAGATGCGGCACCAGTTTACATTCCCACCAACAGTGCAGGAGGGTAACCTTTTCTCCATGTCCTGGCTAACACTTATCTTTCTAATAGCCATTCCAACAGGTATGAGGTGATATCTCATTGTGGTTTTGATTTCTCTGATGGTTAGTGATGTTGAGCACCTTTTCATGTACCTGTTCAGCATTTGTGTATCTTCTTTGGAAAACTGTCTATTCAGATTCTTTGCCTATTTTTTAATCAAGTTATTTGGTTTTTTGCTATTGAGATGCATGAGCTCCTTATATAATTGGATATTAACCCTTTACCAGATATGTCGTTTGCAAATATTTTCTCCTGTTCCGTAGATTGCCTTTCATTTTGCTGATGGCTTCGTTTGCTGAGCAGAAGCTCTTTAGTTTCATTTTGTCCCACTTGTTTATTTTTCCTCTTGTTACTTGTGCTTTTTGTCATATCCAAAAAAAAAAAAAAAAATCATCACCAAGACTGATGTCCAGAAGTTCTTTCCCTGTGCTTTGTTCTGGGAGTTTTATAACTTCAGATCTCACATTTAAGTCTTTACTCCATCTTGAGATCATTTTTGTGAGTGTTATAACGGTCCAATTTCACTCTATTGCATGTGGATATTCAGTTTTCCCAAAACCATTTACTGAAGAGACCATCATTTCCCCATGTGTGTTCTTGGCTCCTTTGTCAAATATTAGTTGACTGTACATGCATGGGTTTATATCTGGGCTCTCTGTTCTGTTCCATTGATCTATGGGTCTGCGTCTATGTCAGTGCCATACTGTTTGGATTACTATAGCTTTGTAATATAGCTTGAAATTAGGAAGTGTGATGCCTCTATCTTTGCTCTGGCTATTTTGGGTCTTTTTGGTTCCATAGGAATTTTAGGATTATTTTTTCTATTTCTGTGAGAAATGCCGATGGAATTTTGTTAGGCATTGCATTGAATCTGTAGATCACTTTGGGTAGTTTGCACATTTTAACAATATTAATTCTTTCAATCCAGGAACATGGGATATCTTTCCATTTATTTGTGTCTTCCTCAATTTCCTTCATCAATGTCTTATAGTTTTCAGTGTACATGTCTCTCACCTCCTTGGTTAAATTTCTTCCTCAATACTTTATTGTTTTGATGCTATTGTAAATGGGATTGTTTATTACTTCTAAAAGTTTTCTGGTGGATTCTTTAGGGTTTTCTATATATAAAATCATGTCATCTGCAAATAGTGACAGTTTCACTTCTTCCTTTCCAATTTGGAT